AACTGAGTTCTAAAGTTCTTCAGAGAATGAGATAATATGACATAGATATCACTTAGCACAACATCTAAGACCTACTGATAGCGGTTTCATGAATGTAGGCTGAGTGGAACGTTCAGCTAGTGAAATATCACTAGTATCACATTTATCCTCCAAGTGCTGTAACTGGGTCTGTGCTCATCCACATTCCATTCTGTCAGCTTGTCAAACTGAAAGCTTAATGAGTCTATTCTCTGGGACTATTTTCCTCCATTTATGAAGATTTCCTTTATAGACTTCATTTCTTCTCTAGTCAAAGCTTTCTACACCCTAGCATAAAATACTATTCAGTGAAATATTTGGGCCCTACTTGGCCTTATCTGTTCTCATTCCCATAACACGATGAACCCAGGATTAACATGTTCTTTACATTGTATTCTGATATTCCCAAATTAGTTCTCAGGACAGCAAGAGGCCAGAGCAGATGAGTCTCAGAGAATGGAGAAAGAGGCCATCTCCCTCTGGTGATTCCTTCTGTAAGCTTTTAGCCAAAACAAGAAGTAACCCAAATGCAGGTGAGAACCTTGTACCCAAGGTGATTTGAAAAGTACATAATGTAGTCACCAAGGTCCTGGTGCACAGTGTGCTCAGATAACACTGCAGGGATTCACAGACTTCTAGGTTATTTGCCAGGACCTTAAGTGGAAGAGTCATATCTGACAACTTAAAAATAGTGGAGAGGTCAGTCTTCTATTCTGTTGAGAAGATGCTTTAACTTGAGCATCCTTAACCTCCTCAACCCTTTGCTGATGTATTTGCTGGTCAGAATGCCATACACACCCACAAGGTTAGGAAAGGTGAGTAACGCTGATTCCTTGAATAGTCCAAATGTGTTTCCTGATGCTGAATCTCAGCCGGATGTTTATCTCTACTGTTTACCCATCTAAGGGTCCTTGATCCAAAAAGAGAAGATGCCACTTTAATATATGGCACACTCAATACAGGAAGATGGCACTTGGCTCTGAATGCAGTCGGCTGTATGTTACTCATAATGGAGCATCTGAACAAACATTTATGGGCTACCATTTAGGTATGGATGAAATTGCTGAGATTTTTGACTGCTTGAGACATGTTTCTACACACTGGTGGTAAATAAAATTATCAAGATGAAGTGAAAGCCCTTTCTATTTTAAGCACAACATGCTCAGTCTCTCTCTGGTCTTGAACAGAGTGGTAGGGATAGACAGACAGAGCTGAAATGGTCGTCATATTCATGCCAACACTTGCTTCCACTGGGATCTTGGGTATAGTGTTGAATTACCATTGGACTAAGGTTTTTCACCTTTAACATGGGGATAGTTATATTTACTCAAGGCTTCTCAGGTATAAAGCTTGTAGTTTAGCACAAGACTTGAAGCATGATACAGGCTGAGTATCCCAAATCCCCAAATCAGAAACATCCTGACATTTGAAAACAGTAATTCTCAAAAAGTTTCTGATTTTGAAATACTTTGTAGTTCAGATTTTTGGGTTTGGAGTGCTCAATTAGTAAGACACATGCAACTATTCCAAAAAATTTGAAAATTTCTCCAAATTTGTAGCATATCCTGTCCCAAACATTTTGGATAAGAAGTAACTTCCCTCTCTCCTCCTTCCAAAAAAAAGAGCAAGTACTTACTAAGCACCTGTTACATACTCTGGGCTGCTGTCCCACCCAGATGCCCAATCTTGGGGCTATAAGCCACATCAATGTCATCAAAGATTTGCATGTTTATTCAATTTTGTCTTTCTCACAGTTTTAAGGAAGGCATATATTACACACACACACACACACACACACACACACACACACACACACACAAACATAGATCTCTTAGTAGAAGTGGGGTCCATGGCCAAGACTTGGACAATTTAAAAAAAGAGCTGAGTGTTGGTGTCCTGCTATACCTGTAATATTAGTTACACAATAGGCTGAAATCTGAGGATCATAATTCTACAAAGTCAACACAGGCAGGAAAGTCCATGAGACTTTTAGCTCCAATTAACCACTCAGAAGCCAGAAGTGGAACTGTGGTTCATGTGGTAGAGCACTAGCCTTGAGAGAACTAAGCTAAGAAGCAGTGCCTAGGCCCTGAGTTCAAGCCCCAGGCCTGGAACAGGAACAAAAAATGTCACGGGGGTTAGATATGGTAGTCTTGAAGAAGAAAGTGTCTTGGAGATGAGGGAGGGATAAAGTATGCCTTACAATATACATAGCTCGTGAACATCAGTGGGATAATGGTTTTAAAATAGAGCCAATGAATGGGGGATGTATTTAGTGACCCATTTGTTATTGAACTGAATGTGACAGAGGATTGTAAATGGCACAAGGGCTCTCTCTTTATTTCTCTCCCATGTAAGCCTTCTTGGAGGAAAGCTGCCTTTGAATCAAGATGGCCACCATTTTGTCAACAGCCTCATGAGGCCATCTAGTAAGCACTTGATTGTTACTAGCAAATGGTTCATGCCTGTAATCCTAGCTACTCAGGAGGCTAAGATCCAGAAGACTGTGGTTCAAAGACAGCTTGGGCAGAAAAGTCTAAGAAACTCGATCACCAAAATAACCAGAAAAGGCCAGGCTGGAAGCATGGCTCAAGTGGCAGAGAACTAGCTTATCAAGTAAGCTGAGCAAGCTTAAGGTCTTCAATTCAAATCCCTATGTGTATGTGGAAGAGGGAGAGGGAGAAAGAGAAGAAAATAAAGAGGAAGAAGGAGGAGAGGAGAGAAAGAGAGAAAGAGACAGAGACAGACAGAGACAGCTCCACCCAGCTAAGCCACTCCAGGATTCCTACTTAAGACACTGAGATTATCAATGTTTATTCTATGTTGCCATGTTTCGGGGCAATCTGTTATACCACAGATCATAAATGCAGTGATAACATGTTTCCAATGGAAATTTCCCTTTGGTTGGAGTCTGGGGGCCTGGCTAAGTGCCAGGTCTTAAAGAGATGCCCAACAGTCTCTGCTTAGTTAAGAAGTTAGGATTTATCCTATCAGCAACTAATCCAAGTTAGAAGCTTTTTTTCTACACAGGAGTGACATGATCAGAATTGATTATGTTATGCTACATGAAACAGGATGCGTAAGATTATGTGTGGGTGGTGGGGAATTTTTTTCATTAAAGTCCTAGAAAGCAACAGTCCAGTTGAAAGAAATGTTTAGAGTCTGAACTAAAACAATCCATGGCAGAGGAATGGACATAAAAGGACTATTTTTAAGATTTGGTGAAAGAAACAGCTAATTTGTAGGGGCGTTTAGTGCTTTTGAGCCTCCCTCCACATTGTGCGGGGCAAAAACTTGTGAAAAAGCATAACAATATTGTATTTATAGCACCACTACCATCTCATATACACAGGAAGGTGCACACACAATAATTCGAGCCAGAAAAATGAATACTTCATCAGTTCTTCACAATTAGGAAATACCGCACTGTTAGAATTAACATAAAGTACCTGAAAAAGTTCTCTGTAGAAACTTTATGAGTCATAGAAAATAATGAGCTCTCACCTTTCCATAGCAACTAGGCCTCACATTTGTTATTGTATGAGTAAAGCGAGGCTTAGGTTGATTATAAATGCGATGATATATAGTTCTATAGATACATAGATCACACACTATATTGAAATACTAGAAGCCTTAAATAGAATCTAAAATATCACAAACAATAATTTCGTCCTCATGAAAGTTTACTTATGAAACCATTGATTTTTATTTTTCCATGTTCTCCAGAAAGTGATGGCTATGTAAGTGTTAGGCCATGTGTATTTAAAAGCCACATTTCTAGACCAATGGTGAGTGAAGAAAGCTTTCTTTTATTAGCTTTTTATAGAAAGAAGACATTTTTGTGTTATTTTGAGCTTATTGTGTTATCACCATTCGTAGCTGCATTCCAAAATGACTCTTCTCTTCTAGAAAAGAGAGTTCTAGTTTGATCATTGACCAAGAATGAAATATCCAGGAATAATCCAAAACTAATAGGATCAATGAACTAAATATACTTTTCAGAAGAAAAATATTGATCAACCGTAATAGTTAGGAAATCTTTATCATCTGGTTCTGAAAATTATTTTAAATAAAATGCCTTTTTAATTTATATACCTTGTGAAACTTTGGAGGAAAGGTTCATCTTCAACACTGACTATGCAAATAATAGGTGGCAGGACACATCTACCAAGGATTGGTTCTTCTATTAAAACAGATATGAGGGTTTAAGTTTCTTGTGGTAGAGACTGTGAAGTTAACAATGGCAGTCTAGTATCAGCCTCTCATGCCCAACAAAGTTACTTACCAAGTGATGGATTTAAAATGGGTTGAGTGAATGAGTGGACCAATGCATGCACACGGTAATGCTGAGGCTGGGTTTGTACAGAGACAATAAAGACTGATATTTCTCAGGTAAGTCTACAGTAAGAACTCATACATATTTATAACTGAAGCATCTTGTGGGAAATGTGAAAAAATCCTGATGTTTAAGAAAAGACAAAAATAAAAGAAGTGTGAACTAAGTTAAAGGCAGCAGCATATTTTAGAAACCTTGATGTAGCTTGTTTTAGTGAAAGCACATTGCTTTAAGGATACTGCTGTTTGAAATGGTTGAGATAGAGTAATAGCAGCTTCATAAAATGATGTGTCTTCAAAGTTATCAGAAATGTGTTTTTAAACAGGGTGCTGGTGGTTCATTCCTAGAATCCTAGCTACTCAGGAAGCTGAGGTCTGAGGATCCTGGTTTGAAGTTAGTCCTTGTAGGAAAGTTCATGAGACTCTTATTTCTACCAGAAAACCAGAAGTGCAGCCGTGGCTTATGTGGTAGAGTGCCAACCAATATTGAGCAAAGAACTTGAAGGACAGGGTCCAGGCCCTGAGTTCAAATCCCAGTACCCACAGCAAAAAAAAAAAAAAAAAAGTGTTTCTGGCTCATAGTCCACAGCTTAATTTTTCATAGAGGGAGAAAAAGAAAGGACAAAGAGAAACCATCACCATCAGAGCCTGCACCAGAGCTATTTATTAGCATAACTTTTTCTTGTTTTCTTTTTTCTTAAAGATTCCATAACAACGCAAGTATGTACAAAGTCGTAAGCATTTTACACCATAAAAAGTTTCCTATTAGCTGATGAAGCCTAAGGTGCTGCTGCTGGAAACTTCTGAGCATGAAAACAATGAAGCAGACCCCTGTGCAATGCCCTAGTGTCAGCTGGCTGACAGCTAACCAACCACCTGGAAGACAGGTAGGGGAAGGGCAGGGCAAAGACAAAGGTGATAGGCAGCTTAGAGACTACAGAGTTGAAAAGCTACAGTGTTTCTACAATTTCCTAGAGCTTTAACAAATGCCCACAGCCTGAGAGAACAACATATGCAAGACAACAGAATTACACTGCTCAGAGATGATTCATTTTTGAATGGGAGGCTCTATACTGATATGGCTGGTATTTCCATTTTTGTTCATGACTTCAGATAGCTCAAATCTATGCAAGTCCCACTCCAGTCCCCCAAATAGAACGACAACAAAGGGAGTGAAGAAAAAAACAGTACAAAGTAGTTCTTGCCTAAAAACATAACAACAAAAACAAAGGAACAACAACAAAATCTCTCCAAACTAAATATACAACTTTGCTTTTTTTGTTTGTTTGTTTTTTTAAAGGCAATAGAATCTGCTTTAGGGTAAGCCATTCCTTTCAAAAACATTAATGTTAAGAACTTTTGAATTACTCCATTCCAAACAACAACAAAATTCCCAAATATTCAACCTCCTAGATTTAATCAACCTTGGTTGTTTCTGATTGTCTTTCCTTGGTTGGGATATTACACAGAAACACCAACATATACACACTGAATTGGACACAGGACTTAGTACTGCTGCCCCAACGAGGCTCTAGTAAGTGGCAAGAAGATCTCAACATGAAAATGACTAATATCAGGCTCACAACTTTATTCCACAGAAAACCCAGCCTGGTCCTACATCCGGTCAGTTACTATTCATGATAGCAAATCCTATTTGTTTTTCCCCCCTTTTTATGGTCTCTCACATGTAGGCAAAGTGGCTTTTTATTTCAAAAAGATTCTGCTCTCAACTTGAAGACCAGTTGATATAACTTTTAATTAAGACACAATAGCGAGGGATATAAAAACACAAGAACCACATAAATATTGAAGAAATTGTATACCATTTCTGTTTTGTTTCTGTTTTTCCCTTGTAAACAGTTTTGTCTAAGAGCAAAGCCCTAATTTAGATTCTGGCCTGAAACTTTTGGCAGGTAAGTGTGTTCAGCCAGGCTCTGCAGAGATGTGAAGGGGAAGCCAGACTTGGCGCCATGTTGACAGGCATGCAACTTGAAAACATTGCACAACAGAGCAACACAAAGAGTGGAAAAGCTCACAACACTTCAAAAGAGACCTCACAACCTTCACGACTGCATATGCACAGACAGACCCGCCCCTCCCCGTCTTCTCCAGCACGTGTATCTCTTACACGTGGGACACCTTCTGTGACTCTCTAGCTTGTTTGATGCTATATAACCACTTGATGATCCTAGCATTTCTTTCGATGGCGGAGATGCCATATGGCACGCGGTCATTGGCACTGTCATCATTTCTAAGGTCACTGTTACTGTCCTGAGACTGTTCACAGTCTGAGCTGATCATGCTGGCGCTGCGGAAGTTGAGGGAGATGATGTCAGAATTAGCCCTGGCAAAGTTTTCCATGCCAAGGTTTTCCAGCTCTTCTGGGTCCAGTCCACAGTAGTTGAAAAACCTCTCCACATCCGCATCCACACGGAAATATCTGTCACTCAAGTCTGACTTGGACCGCTGGAGGGAGGGCCTTCGGCTGACACCACAAGCTGGCTCCACAGGGGGGTCAGCTTCAGGGGACTTCATGGGGGCGGCGGCCTTGGGCTTGGGGGGCAGGGGAGGGGCAGAGCTGCTGCAAGGGATCGCTTTGAGGGGCTTCACGCTGGTCACCTTGCGGATGTCCGAGGAGCTGTGGGAGACATGCAGGAAGGACTCGGCCGATTGCTCCAGGAGCCTCCTGCTCACATGGGAGCTGCTTTCTTGGGGACTGCCCCGGCCTGGCGTGGGGTAAACCTTCAGGGACTCGGCGAAGGAGTGGCGGTGCAGGTCACTGGCATCCGATCGGTGCGGTGGCCAGTTGCGGGAGCTGTGTTTGTGGCCTGAGCCCGAGCTGGAGCCCTCGGAGCTGTTGATGATGTTCTTCAAGATCTCCAGCTTGAGCGTCTCCCGTTGCATGCCACTCTCGGTCTTGGCATGGTTCCCGAACACCTTGAGCGTGGGGCTGCCCAGTGCGCGCTTGGCACCTGGGCACACAGGCGGCTTAGCCAACACGGAGGGCTTCACGGGCTCCTGCTTGGCATTGATCACCTCCTGGCTCTTGACATACTTGGCCTTGTCGGCTTCCAGCCTCTCCACGGCGCTCAGCCTCTTGGGGTTGGGCTCAGCCTGCCTGCGGAAGTAGTCTGGTCCTTTGTTGAGGATGCGCAGGGGGACGGCCGAGGTGAAGGTGCCCGCGGGGCTGACCGGCTTCACCATGCTACCTGTCTGTAGCGTCTCGGTGGGCATGGTGGGCGGTCTTTCCCCGGCAGCCGTGGTGGATGCTCTTCTGGGCGCCTCGAGCCGGCCTGAATAGACACATGTACATGAAGCACCTAAGGGCAGCAGGGGGATCGTGGAACCGCTGTCGGCAGCTGTCAGCAGCAGCAGCAGCGGCTCATCTCACAGCGCACGAACCGCCTCTGTGGCTTCGATACACGCCCCCTCGGCCCCTTCTCCTTCCAGCCGGCCCTTGGCACCAAAAGGCCACACGCCACAAGTTCCTCTGGATCTGCGGCGTCGCTGCCTCCTTTCTTCTTTCTCCCTGAAGCCTGTGGGAGTCTCTCCTCCAGGTCTTTGTGCTCAACTGCAGGCAGGGCTGAAACACAAAACAACCAACCGCGGGTTAGCAGAGGCGGGTGACATCACGGCTCTAGCAACAGAGGAACCCCGCAGCGTCCCCGCCTCCGCTCCCCCCCTCTCCCCGCCTGCCGCTCCCCCTCCCCACCAGGGGTCCCGGTAGCCCTCCACGGGCAAGGCACGGTTAACCGCAGGAGGAAGGCGATCTGGACCTCGGGGAGGAGCTTTGCTGCCCGAGTGCCTGGCAGTCAGATTACAGGCATTTGCAAGAAAGCAAGGGGGCCGAGGTTTCCCACGCGCGAACTCTTGCCTTGGTGAGAACCGCCTCCAGAACACGCCCAGTTGGCATCGCTTAAGAGTGAAACCCAGGAAATAAATACGAGTGAATGGAGACAGGAGGGTTCAGCCAAACACCATTCCTTCCCGGCTCATTAAATGCTACCAGCTTCTTGGGATCCCTTATGGGCTTTAGGCTACACCGTGGGTGGTGAGTGATGATTTACAATATGTCCCTTCTGCAGTGTAGACAAACTTGTGACTCCTTATCACCAATCTGTCAGTAGAACTTGAAACAATTACTTCTTTAGATAGGCGAGAAATGGGATTGGCAGGAAGTGGAAGAATTCAAGAAAAGAGCGGGCTTACACCTTCACTAGCCAAAGTTTTAGAAACTCTCCGGCAAACCAAGGATGTATGTGGAGTTCATCCCTATGAACACAGCCTTCTTTTTAGTACTAAAACGGAAAAGAAAGAGAAATACTTCTAGTTGAATCATATGCGCTTATGATTTGATTATAAGTGCTCCATAATGTCTCATGCTCAATGTGCAGAAATCACAACTTTATAACACCAATATTCTGTTTCCCTAGAGGTACTAGGAATAAAATCTTAAAATGTCCATCATGTCTAAATGGTTTATACTATAGAAAACGTTTGTAATTATGCATTCATGGGACCTACTTAAAGATTTGTTTTTTAAAAAACTTAACTACTGAAATCAAAACCAAACCAGATCAAAACAAAACAAATCCCCTCAAACAAAACAATTAAGTGTGCAAATCTATAATTTCAGATTTTTCCCTATATAATGTATACACAATTTATAAAAAGTACTTCACAAACAATATTTGTCCCTGGTACAAGACTCATTTCTTGATGCTGCCAGCAGAGATCACTGTCCAACCCCTCAGCATTCAAAGGAACTGGTGGGTTAATGACCTTACCAGCCTATTTGGTTATAATTAGGAATACTCCCAGCAATCTCTCTCTCTTTCTCTCTCTCTCTCCCCTCCTCCTTTTTCTCTCTTTCTCCCTTCCTTCCTTCCTTTATCTTTCTCTTTCACTCTTTCTCCCTTCCTCTTTTCTTTCTTTTTCTTCCCTTTTCCCTTTTCTACTCCCTCCCTTCTCAACTTAAGGGAGTGAAGAATACTTTTCTATCTTCTAGAAGGCATCTCCTAGGAATCCCCTAGTCTTTTCATATTGCTTTCTTTTTTCATGAGACTGACACCTTCAGGAAGACTCCTAGGGCTTCTTATACTTTGAGGGCTTTGGAAACATTTATTGGACATAAAATCACTGTGAAAGGATTACATCAAAAATAACGATGAGGGGCTGGGAAGGTGGCTCAGTGGTAGAGAGCTTGCCTTGCATGCTCGAGGCCCTGGGTTCGATTCCTCAGCACCACATAAGCAAAAAGAAAAAAGCCGGAAGTGGTGCTGTGGCTCAAGTGATAGAGCGCTAGCCTTGAGCTGAAGAGCTGAGGGACAGCGCCCAGGCCCAGAGTTCAGGCCCCACGACCGGACCCCCAAAAAAAAAATAATAACGATGATTTGTAACCACTTCACATTACATTTCCTTTTTGTTCCTATCTCTTTCCTCTCTTCCTTCTCATTCCCAATCTCCCTAATATTTTTTTTTTAACACAGCAATAGGGGAGAAACACCAATATTTTGTTGGAAGACTCAAAAGCAAAAAGCAACTGTAGTCATGCTTGGTACTACTGTAGGATAATAATAGGCACACTCAAATTTTCTAGTTTTAGCTAACAAACTAAATCTACTGCAAAATAATGTAAGTGGCTTAGGTTGTCTTTTCTCTTAATACTTCCTTAATCCTTACACTTCTTTTACTCTCAATGAATTGGGAAAAATGCTGGCAGGGACCAAACTGAAGAAACACTTGTGAGCTTTGCAGCATATACTTGATGTGGATCAGGAACATATCGCAAGACAAATCAAATGTAGATGATCACACAGGTAAGGGAGTAACCTGGAGCTACATCTCAAGGTCTTGGAACCAGGTAATCATATTGCCTGTTAGGTACTACTGTGGCACATGAAGTCTTGATATTTGCACAGGCCCAATGGTGGTGGCTGGGCACTGATGACAGTGGTCAAGCTGACTTCTGGTCCTAGAACGGACTTCGTGTTGTTTTGGAGAAGGAAAATATGATTTTGTCCTTAGAAAGTTCTATAAACAAAAGTTATTATCTTACTTTACACTTTTTTTTCCCCTCATGATGGTGGAGATCAAACCCAAAGCCTGTACATGCTAAGAAACTACTCTATTCTGCATGAGAGAAAGAAATCCCACTCAGAATCATGTTGGCTATAGTCTATCCATCTGAAAATTTCATAAAAGGGTAAAAAGGGCTAGGGTGGACCCATTGCAACAATGAGATGTACAAGTCATTATGTTTAAAAACTTACTTTACAACTTTGGTGGGGGATGGGGAGAGGATGGGGTGGGGTGGGGAGAGGGGGGAGTATGGGAAGAGATGGGAAGGGGAAAGAAAGGAGGAGGCAACAATGCTTGATAAGAAATGTACTCATTATCTTGCCCATGTAATTGTAACTCCTCTGTATGGTATTCTCACAATAAAAAAAATTAAAAAAAAGAAATTTGGCAGATCTGAGGTATAAAACATTCGGTTTCCTGTATGAGGCAATTGTGAACTGAAAAGCGAATGGCCTGGGTTGCTGGGCTGGAGTGTGGTAAGGACAGAAGGGCTTATGACACTTGGATCAGTTGGCTGATAGAAGACACAGGAATGAGAAGTGGGATCCCACAGAGAAGTGGGATCTCTCATTATCCACCCTACTGCTTCTCAATTTTAACTTGTGGCCCTAAATCTCCTAACAATGCCCAGTCTGACTCAATAGACTTGGGTGAAGCACCAAATCCTGCTTTTCTTACTGGAGCCCAAATGATGTTAGTCCATAATATAGCCAGGAATGTGAGGAGGAAGCCCACATCTGGCCTGGCAAGCAGATGGGCAAAGATTTGTTGCCTCTTAAGTCAAAGGATTTTTAGGCATCAAAATAGCTATCTCAAGTGGCCTGAATCTTTCTAATTTCCAAGTTGCCAGCTGCTCATACGATAGTGAGGTAAAACCTAGGACCCTCAGCTGATAGGAAATAGTAGCAAACATCTGCAACCCTGGAGGAAAGTAGAACTAGAGAATGTTTCTCCATGGACATGGTGCATTTGAACAAAACAATGCTAAAGCCAAAGCGTCTCTGTAATCTGGGGAAGGAGAGCTTTGATGCCTGGGAGGTGAGGCAGCTGCTGGAAGAATGCCTGGCCTGGGGACATTTGACAGGAGTTTGTCTGGCCTGGGGAAAGGGGCCCAGCTAGGGCTGCCATGGGAAGGAATGTGGCACACTGTTGCTCAGAAGCAAATCCAGAGCTCTATGCAAACCATCCGATTTTAAAATTCCGTCCTATAAAATCACTGTGGGCCAAATTTGGTCTGTAGTTTTGTTACTTCTTCTAGTGCTCCTGGTAAATAAAAAGAAAATTAGCTGCTAAGTTTTAAGTAGGAAAGAAAGCCACTGGAATTAAAGCAGGGGCTGTGGGAACGGAATCCACCCACAGGTTTCTAAGTATGTGAAAATTCTCCTACCCTAGGGCAGAGAAGTGGGGGGCAGGGGCAAGAATGCTTTAAAGAGCAAGTCTGGCTAATTCAACTCTGCATCACCTAATACTACTTTATTGTCTTTATTGTCTTCTGGATAATCACAAACTTGTTGATCTGGTGGCTGAAAATGCTCAAATTCTTGGAAGAACATAGAAGAAGAAGCAATTTTCCCCAATGAAATTAATAAGATTGTAGAAGAACCAATTCTTTCTGCTGCCTGGATGTCAAATCACAAAACTTTTACATGAAGAATGTCCTCTGGAACCCCATGTTTTGGTCATAATTAGTATTTATATTGTGCACTTTGACTTTGCTAGGTTTCTTTGCCAATACTCAACTTCTAAGAATTCTTTTTTTTTTCTCTTTTTCTATTTCTTTCCTTTTTTTTTTTTCCTTTGTGCTGGACCTGAGGCTTGAACTCAAAGCTTGGACACTGTTGCAGAGCCTTTCTGCTCAAAGCTAGTGCTCTACGATTGAGGGACAGCTCTACTTCCAACTTTTTGTTGGTTAATTGTAGGTAAGAGTCTCATACTTTCCTGCCTGGCCTGGCTTTGAACCACAATCCTCAGATCTCAGTGTCCTGAGTTGCTAGGATTATAGACCTGAGCTACAGGTACCAAGCTTCTAGCTAAGAATTCTTTTTGGTAAGATTCTATCTTGACTAGGGAATCACTTCCCATTCCTGAGTTCTTGGCTTTTCTAATTAAATGATGGTTCACTCACTTTCACATCTCAATGTGCTAAAGCTGAATTGTTTATCAAGGTAAGGAGAATGTGCTCAAAATTGTGGGTCTTGTTCAATCAATGGATTAGTACCTGCTGACTAATCAGTTATGTATAAGATGTAAAAAATAGAAAAGTCACAAAATAAATCTGATGAATACTAACTGAATCTGAATGATAAACGTGCCAAAGTGTCAAAAAGGAGCACAGAGAAGATTGAGGAGAGGAGAAAACTCCAATGGAGATACAGGTAAGGTTAACAGGGAACCTTTTGTTCATGGCATATTCAAAAAAAGTTGAAAGTCACTTTTGACCAATGGGATAGCTGAGGACGAAGAGGATTACTGGGGGCAGGGTACAGAAACTTTGGCTTTTAT